TGGAGCTTTCTGTCAGGCAGAGCCGACCCACATGGGGAACTCCAGAGGTAGGGGCTTCCCGGGCCGGGAGGCAGGCTCCTCGGTGCTTGAAAGGGCCCCTTTCCTTCCTGAGGATCCCAAACTCCAAGAGCTTTCAGGCCCATGTGTGACAAGTGTCAAGGTCTTTGCTGGCCTTAGAGCGGGGGGAGCTCCTTCTCTGCCCTCCACCTGTCAGGGGGCTACAGGGAGTCTTGTTCACCCCCGACCCGGGGCAGGGCTGGCTGCTCCTGCAGCTCCTTCCAGCTCGGGGGCCCCTCTGCCCTATGACTCGCACCCGCTGCCCGGCCTCCATCTGCTACTGGCTGTGCCGGCGCCCAGTCGCCTTGGCTCCTCCGCTGGCCGGCTAGTCTCTCTGCCCGCCCTTGTCCACTCCCTGCTCCAAGCCCACCTTGAGGTGTCATTTCAGTGTGTGACAACGATGACGTGTCCCTGCCAGAACTCAGACCTCCGCAGGCTCCCCACCGTTTGCAGGCGGAGGCCCTGAACTCAAGGCCACCCCATCGCGGCAGCCCCTGCAGAACATGTGGCAGTATTTCCAAACATTCCTCCACCTTCTGTTTTTAACTCTCAGACTTTTTTTTTAATAGGAAAAAAAAAGCAAGATGTTTCAGAAACACATAATTTAGTAGGTGAAGGTCTCCCGTGATCCTGGGCCCCGGATGGCTTTATTTTTTAAATTGTTCTAATCCTAGTGTTAAAGAGAAGGAGGCTGAGGGGCAGAGGTCGTGAAGGGACAGGTCTGGGTGACCCCTCAGACAAATGACATGTTGGGCTACACAGGTGAAACCTGGGCTCTGCCTTTATTGAACCACGTAGGTCGAGGAAATTCTCATTATTGGTTAGCTGTTGTTTCCGTGGCTGTAAAGGGGGCATCGTTAACCCTGTCTCTCCTCCCTTGAGGGTCGTTGTCAGTAGCTAAGACAGAAAAACCACAAAGACAAAAACCCCACCGGGCTGTTACGAATGGAGTGCTTGTCACGGGAACACGGTTATCAGTGGGCAGAGGGCACTGGGGACAAAAGCGCAGAACAGGGGGCTTTGGCGGTCCGTGTGGGATGCCCGGGGCGGGGAGCTGCGACCTTTGTCCAACTTTGAAACTGTTACAAATAACAACACTTCGTTTTTAACATTCCCAACGTAATTGTGTTCATGGTAGGAAACTTAGAAGCGATAGGTAAGCAAAAAAGAAAAATACCACGCTCAGTCCCCCATCAGGAATAAATGCCCAAGTGTTTGAACATCCTTCCCGTCTTTTGTGCCTGCTTGTTGAGTGGCGTCCTTGGTCCTATCAGCAAGGAACCAGGCGTGGTGCGGAGGCACAGTGATGGAGGCGGTTTGTTTGATCAGCAGTTATGCGTCCAGCTCGTCCTCTAAGCCAGGCTGCTGACAGCCGGGAAGGACCTAGGACGGCCCCTGCCAGGAGCAGCATGCAGTGCAAGGAGTGTCCCATTTTGTGATGCTGACAGTGGGCTCTGGAGCTGAGAGGTGGGGTGGGTGTGTCATCAGGGAGGGCTTCCTGGAGGAGCCGGGCTTTAACCTCCAAGAAAGGGTAGAATGTGGGAGGGTTAGGGAGAAGGGCAGGCCAGGTGAGGGAAGTGTGAGGCGGGAGCAGCTTTCCTGACCCTGCCTCGTGGAGGCTGAGACCTGCTCCTCGGTGCAGGGCACTCACTTGCTCTCTGAGTCCTGAAAGCTGTGGATGCCCTGCAGTTGGCCATCTGCCCATCTCTTATTTCCTGAGCATCTACTGGGCCCCAGGTGCTGCTCTGATGCTGGGGTCATGCACGGACAAGTCAGACACCGTCTTGCTATTCGAAAGTCAGGGAGACTGGTACTATACACAGTATAATCCGGCCAGTGACTTGATTAAGAAAGAATGGGGCTCCGAGGCTGGAGAAGGACTGTGGGGGTGGAGTGGGCGGACCACGGCACCACTTACATCACCCCCGGTCTGTGGGCAGGGGACCCGGCGCTCAGGATTGCTGTGGTTTGAAAGGAATGATGAGCGCAAGCCACATTCCAGATGCCTGCACAACTGAGGTGCGATGTGAAACATCTAAGGGCTCTGGGGCGACCCCACCCTGAGATCAGCATTGTGATGGGGTGGCCTTCACTGTGATTGAAGGGAATGCGCGCTTTTAGTTAGAAGGCAGGAAAAGAACGGCGTGATTGTTTACACGCCATCCGGTTTCATGAGACGCCTTAGTCTGGTCTCATCCAAAGCCACCCTCCCCACTCTCCCCGCAGTGGAGGCGGGAGCACTAGGGATCCCCACACCCTCACCCTTGCCGACCACTGCCTGGGAGTGGACGGCAGTGGCGTGACCACTAGAACTGCCCACCTTAGGAGCCAGGTCCCTTTGAAACTAAAAGGGGCTTTCAGACCATCCCATGCCTCACGAAGGCCCAGCGAGTGGAAGGAGGTCGCCCAAGGCCCCGCAGCCTGTGGCCAGCAGGGCGAAGGCCCCTGTGCCTGGAGGACTCACTCTGGGCGGCTGAGGGAAGTTCCAGGGAGAGAGTTGCAGAGTGCGAAGCCTGGGAATCTCAGGGTGTCACCGTCCTGGAGACATTTTGGAGGCGGGTCAGCTTTCAAAGGGTACTGTTCTTCTCCCACCTCTGTGGGCTGCAGCTGTGCACATCTGTATTGTCCCCGGGCTGCCTTTGCAGGCACTGGCTGGGGGCTCTCATTGCCTGTGGAGCCGGTGAGAGATCAGGTGGCTGCAGCGGGAGCGCTGGGAGCCGCGGGGGGCGGGGAGAAGGGACGGAGGTGTCCAGCCCAGCCCAGACCAATGAGAGCAGGGCCTGGCCTGGGCCTGGCAGCCGTAGCCAGCTGTTGCCTCTGTTCGTCATGCCCTGCTTCTGGACGGCCACCTGTGTTCTTGGAAGGGGCTGTTCCCACCCATGCCTGCTTGGCCCAGACTATCGAGAGGGGTCTGGGAAAGTTGGGTGAACTCTGCTGGGGGCCTGCCACGCAGGCAAAGCGGAGAGAACTGGAGAGAAGTTTAGGGCTCTGCTGTAGGCCCGCTGGGGGTCCACGTGAGCCCTCACCCTTTGAGCTGCCTGCCTTTCTGTTTCGGAACAGAGACTCCTTCCCTCCACGCTTGACACCCCGTCCCAAAAAGGAAAGAGAGAGAAATTGGACCGGGTGTGGAGAGTCACGATGGGGCTCTTATAAACACAGGTGTGTGTGTTAACAAAGCTGTCATGCAGCTCCTGGGAGTTTTCAAGTACGGCAAGGCTGGGCAGGGAGCCCTTCCCACGCCGGAGAGGGAGAAAAACGGGCGGTGGTTTGGGACGGTTCTGGGAGGGGCAGCGTGAGGCTAGTCATTCTGTCTAGGCGGCTCTGGGGAGAGGAGCATGAGCACACAGCCATGGGGAGGCCTGGGCAGCCCCCCGCGGGAGATCGGGAGCTCTGACTCAGGGGCTGCGGGAGAGAGGGCACAGTGAGCTCAGCCTTCACGCTGAGCTGCAGAGCCCCTGGTCCACCATCCATGTTCTGAGGTGCTGCTGCTGGTTATGAGAGGGCTGGGGGTAGAGGGCAGGGGCATGTGGGTGGCCGGAGCTGCTCGTGCCCAGCCAGTGGCAGCTGGGGGACTTGTCATGTTCTAAGGACTATGTTGTCCCTGTGTTTCTGCAGGGTCGACCCATGTCAGGGTGCAGGTAGGGTTGGGGTGGGCAGGGCAGGTAGGCCCCTCCTTCTCCTGATCCTGGACCATTAATGACATGGGGGGCCAGCGCCGCTGGGCTCTGAGAGTTCCGTCTCCTGTGCCTGCGCCCCAGAGCCAGCCCTCCCCACACAGCCTCCAGCAGCTCTTCCCAGGTCTTGCAGCCCGCTTCCCCAGCCGTTCTCTTATTTGTTTTAAATAAGCGTTAACTTTATTACCCAGTGTTCAGAGGAGACAAATCACAAAAATGCAGAGAAGCAAAAAGGAGAAAAAAAAAGTTACCTGTAATTTCATCACTTGGTGATAACTCATGTTGGCATCTTGGAGTGTATCCTTCCAGACTTTTCTCCTGGTACACTTTATGAATTCAGTTGGGATTATAGCTTAAACTTGCAGCCTCCTCCTTTCAGTCCTACTTCTGAGATGTCTTTCCACATCTGTCAATGTGATATTTTTATTATCCATTTAACATTCCATCTTAGAGATGTCCTGTAATTTATTCAACAAGTGCCCTGGTGAAGGATGGAGGTTGTTTCCAGTGTTTTGTTACATAAGCAACACCACCTTTGTAGCCCACTTTTTGCACGCATCCTTACGTGCTTCTCTAGGAGGGAGCTCTCCACGCGGAAGCTTCTTGTGGGTCGCAAGCTTTGCCTGTTGATGTTGTTGAGGTTTGCGATGTTGAGGTTGAGGTTGAGGTTCATCATGCTGATGCTGGTGACGTTGAGGTTGGTGGTGATGATGTGGATGATGCTGATGTTGAGTTCAGGGCCTGTAGCTTTCATTGGACCCTTGATCGGCTGTGAGCTCACCCTGCCTGGACTTCCCTGGCCTTGTTTTGTGACATTCATGGCTAGAGTGTCCTCTGCATTCTGTTCCCATCCACATCCCTAACATCTAGGCCTGACTTCCTTCTGCATCTGCCCCTGGTTCTCCCTCAGCTCTTCTACTTCTAGCCTGGAAGGTGTGGCCTCCAGGTGGCCTGATCTAGTCATCTAGGGCCCTCGGTCTACACCTGGTGTGGAAAGTTAGCCCTTTCCTCTCATTTGCACCAGAGGAGTGTAAACTCTAATGGGCCATGGCTCTGTACTTATATCTCTCTCTGTCCATAATACCCAAAATGCCAGCAGTGGGCTGGGCACACAGTAGACCCTCAGTGTCCATGTGGTAGGCAGTACCCCTGCTCTCTGGGCCTCAGACTTTGGTCTGTACCTACGGTGGAGGTGAGGGGTGGGCTGGGTGTCTTCAACCCTGGCTTTTCCTACCTGCTCTTTGACCGTACACCCTCTCAACCCCACAGGTCTTGGGTCTGAGATTGCCGGCTGACTATGGGTACAACAGCCAGCACAGCTCAGCAGACGGTCTCGGCCAGTGCCCCCTTCGAGGGCCTCCAGAGCAGCAGCACGATGGACGGGCGGCACTCACTCAGCGTCCACTCCTTCCAGACCACGGGCGTGCACAACAGCAAGGCCAAGTCCATCATTCCCAACAAGGTGGCTCCTGTCGTGATCACGTGAGTGCCAGGGGGAGCTTATGATGTCCCTGGAAGACATGGCTGTGGAGGCAGCCTGGAGGGCTGGTGGCACCATAGGACTTGATATCTAGATGCGGATGTCGAGGCCCAGAGCGTTTAGGCAGTTTATCTGGAGACACACAATACGCAGGTGGCAGAGACTGTCGTGGGTCTCTAGCTTACGTGACTTAGTATGTTCACAGGGTCAGGGAGTGTGGAGAGGGAGGACTGGCTGGCGGCACACTCTTTAGAAAATAATTTTTGGCTGAACATTTTCAAAGGACGTGTATATATTTAGATGCATCAGGTTGAGATTTTTTCCCCCCCTGCAACCATCAATTATGGTTGGAAATTGAGGTTAACACGAGGCCATTAAAGGGCCGTGGGCTGAAAAAGCTGGAAGCTGTTGGTCGACTGTCCTAATTAGGTTCTTCAGGGACATTTCTGGAGGAGGCTGAGGGTTGTTCCAATACCATATTTTGAGAGAGACTTGAGTGTCCAGAGGAAGTGGGTCAGGAAGGGGCCCTGAAACCCTGTCTGCCCCTCGGGGCACAAGGAAAGAGTGGGTGCTGGGGAGCCCTGAGGCCTGGGAGACAGAGGGGGCGTTGGATCTGTGTCCTGGGGAGTCGGCAAGCCTTGTCTTCCACTGAATCTGCCCACCGTGCTCCCCTGCCTGTGGGCCCCCGCAGGACGCAGGAAGTAGGACGTGGTGAGCTACGAATTAAATATATTCCACACATGGAAGCTTGGCAGAGACCTAGCAGATGGGCCTTCTGTGTAAGGAAACCTGAGGGTGGGAATGATAAATTTGGCCTGTTGGCTTTGGGGCCTGATAGGAAAATTATAATCCTAATACGTTACTGTATTCATGGTGAGGGGAGGAAAAGAGATGTTATATAAAAAAGACCTGATATATAGTCCCTCTACTAGAGACGACAAAACTAGGTTTGAACCCTGAGGGAAGTGTTGGAGGCCTATGTCCGGGTCTTGCTCCATGACCTTGGGCACATCCTGTTTCTTCCCGGGACCTCAGTTTCCTTACCAGGATATGTGAACATGATGTTCAAAATATCTAATCAAGTGGCGTGGCTCGGAACAGTCACCGGCCGCTATAAAAATCCACTGTGAGGGGTACATGCGTGCCTCCTGGAGCCAGCCGTGGGCGCGGTTCTCCTTGCACTGCAGCAGGTTTGAGGGGGAAGGGACCTTACATGTCCTCTAATTCAGGGGGCAGCAAACTGTTACTATATCTTGCCGGCTAAATCTAGCCCAGCATCTGTTTTTATAAGTAAAGTTTCCTTGGAACACTGCCATTCTCATGCATTAATATATTGTCTATGGATGCCTGACACTTCAGCTGCAGAGGCGAGTCGCTGACACAGAGACTTTGTATGGCCCACAGAGTCTAAAATACTTTCTAGTCCTTGATATAAAAGGTTTGCTGACGCCTGACCTAATAGTACCTTCTGAATCAGACGTGAAATCTGACTTAGATACACAGTTTGAGGAGGCAGAGGTTTGCCCACCATGGGCCCCGTGGTGAGGCGGAGGCAGAGCTGCAGCAGGAACCCACTGCTCTTCCAGTGCTCCCTGCTCCACCCACTTGGGGGCTGTGTCTTCTTCATTGTTATAATCAATCAAGAAGCTTTTTGTGTCTTGAGGGCACAGACCTCATTTAGCATCTGCAGAAACCTGGATTTGTGCCGACGGGGGGGGGGGTTTGAAATGGCCCTCTGGAGGTAGAACTACCACTAGTAATAATAATTTTATTAATAAGTGCTCACTGTGCCCAAGGCACTGGGCTAAGCAGTTATATTCATGAACGTGTTGATTTCTCACAGCAGCCCTAGGAAGTGGGAATCACTAGAAACGGAGCTACAGAGAGTGAGTGACTCCAAAGTCACGGAGTTACAAGCAGCAGAGGTGCATTAATGCCCAGGCTGCGTGGCCCCACAGCCTGTGTGCTGAACCACCTCACTGTGTGGGATTGTCAGTGTGGAGGTTGTTTCTGAGACAGTTTGATGGAGAGGAATCATCCAGGGCCAAAGTAACTCTGCAACAAAAGGTGTTCTTCAAGACAGAAGCTTCTCTCACATAGAAATCCAGGAGAGGCACCAGGCTCCATGATCGTCCAGGCTCCTCCTCTCTTGTTACCGTGCCGTCATCAACATCTGCTTCCTATCATCACTTCTGGATGCTAGCCAGGGAGGAGGAGAGAAAAGTAGAAGGCACATACCTTCCCTTTAAGGGAATGGCCCAGAAGTTGTACATATCACTGCTCCTCACATCCCATTGGCCAGAACTTAATCACATGACCACACTAGCTGCAAGAGAGGCTGGGAAATGTTGTCTTCATGTGGATGGCCCAGTCCCCATTCCAGGGTTCTTTTGCTGACAAAGAGGAGAGTGGATATTGTGGTATAATGGACCCCTTCTGCCACAAAGGGGCAACGACTTGGGTGGGGCTTGGGTGGCCCTGCTGTGAGGTCTGGTGAGGATGGAGTGGACCCTGGCTTTGGAGGTTGCCTGACTTGGTCTCCATCTGCCCCTGGCAGGTACAACTGCAAGGAGGAGTTCCAGATCCACGATGAGTTGCTCAAGCCCCATTATACCCTGGGCCGGCTCTCGGATGCCACCCCTGAGCACTACCTGGTGCAGGTGAGGGCGAGCCCTGCCCTTCCCTCTCCCAGCCTCTCCCCGCCCCTCCTGTCCTCCTTCCTCATAGGTTTCCTTCCTAATTTTTTCTTCTTTCCCCACTGTTCCCCTTCTCTGTTTTCACTGCCTCATCCCACCCGCTGGGGTCCGAATCCCATTTCCCCTCACCCCCTGGTTTTCTGGGGCCCATTCCTCCTGCCCAGTGGAGCGCCTGCTCCTCTCTCTCCATCCTCCCCTTGGCTGACCCCAGCATGCCCTACCCCGTCCCTCGGAGCACCAGGGAGAATGTAGATGAGGACAGAAGGCCCCAGGTCCCAGTCTGCTTCCCCAGGCTGGGGATCTCCCTCCCCTTCTCTTCTGAAGCTTCAGAACTTCTCTAGCTTAGCTGGTTTTTTCTTTTCTTTACTCTCTTCTCTTCTTTCCTCCCTCCCTCCCTTCCTCCTTCCCTCCCTCCATCCCTTCCTCCTTCCCTCCCTCCCTCCCTTCCTTCCTTCCCTCCCTCCTTCCTTCTTCCTTCCTTCCTTCCTTCCTTCCTTCCCTCCACCCTAAATACCCCCTAGAAAGTAAAGTACATGAGGACAGATGATTTTTCATCTCTCATTCACTGCTGTAGCCCCATTCCTCAGAGCTATGCTTGGGCATGATACAGGTCCTCAGTAAACAGTCAATGAATGAGTGACTGAATGAAGAATTATGACAATTAAGCTGTATTTGCTGAAAGAATAGCTGAGATTTCTGGCATCTGGAAGAACGGGTCCCACCAATCTGTCAGTAATGTAGGCGCAGTCAGGGAGGCGGATGAGGTGACTTCAGGGTTCCTTTGTGCCCAGGAATGAACTCTTCTAGTTCTCCCTGCTCGTCCCTGGTCTCCAAGTACCATTTTCCTCTTTTCTCTATAGTCATGGCATCTTTTCACCCCAGTTGGGGAGGGGAGAGACCTGCCCATCCTCTAAACTGCGGGACCCCAGGAAGGGGCCCATACAGTCTTCCTCTAGCTGATTCCTGCTGCCCCAGTGGTGACTCCCTACTCCGGCCCCTTCTCCATATCCTTCCTCCCCGGGAGCCGCGGACCCACCCTAGAGCCAGCTCTGGTTTCCCGCCCTGCAGTGCTTCTGCCTGCTCTCCTCCCTCAGGGCCTGGTGTGGATGACAACACCTACATGAAGCATCCTCCGTTTCCCACTCAGAAGGGGTTGTCTTGTCTTTCCTCTCACTCTGTGATCCCCTTCCTGGGATCACAGGTGGTCATGTATTTTGTCTTTTCTTCCTGGGAGGCTGCAGACAACTTGAGGACCATGTCCCCTACCCCGGTTCCCTGATCCCCATCTCCTGGGGCCAGGGACAGAGCCCTGACTGTAGAAGATTCCCCTGAGTCATCTCAGTGACCCCCCCTCCCCCCCCGTGGCTCTCCCACTGCCAGGGGCGCTACTTCTTGGTGCGGGATGTTGCTGAGAAGATGGACCTGCTGGGCACTCTGCGGAGCTGTGGAGCCCCCAACTTCCGCCAAGTGCGGGGCGGGCTCACCGTGTTTGGCATGGGACAGCCCAGCCTCTCGGGGTTCAGGCAGGTCCTTCAGAAACTCCAGAAGGATGGACACAAGGTAAGCACGGTCACTTCTCAGGCTGGGGCTGGCCCCCAAAACTGGAGAAAAGGGCTCCCAGAAGTGGCAACTTCAGAGGCTTTGAAGGGTCCTTGGCCGCAAGATCGGGAGGGCGGCCGGTGACCTTGACCAAGCCCTGCCAGGCCTTGAATACCATGATGGTTTTTGTGGTCAGCATGGTTGGAAATTCCAGGCAACTGTCATTGCATTGTCCTGTGTGGACAGGGGAGGTTCGAGGTTAGAAGTCCTTCACACACCCTATCCCCGGAACCTCAGAGGAAGTGAGGAGGGCAACAGGGTGACAAGGGGGCCAAGTCACAACGAGAGAGCTGCTGGGTGACAATCATAGCTAGGCTTTATAGCCTCACCTCGACCCTGTGAGGGGGGCAGTTAGCCTCCCATTTTATAGAGGAGGAAATCAAGATCCAGAGCGGGTAAGTGACTTAGCTCATGAGTGGCATCCCAGAACCCAAACCCAGACATCTGCATTCTAAGTGCCGGCTTTTAGTGACTCTCTCTCCCCTGCCTGCCTTCGAGGTGGGATTTTGTCTGCAGGACAGAGGCTGAGGGTCCACGGTGATTTCAGGTTCATCGTGGGCTCCCTGTAAGCACACAAATCAGACCTTTGACCTGGGGTTAAGATGGAGTGTCTTTGAGTGACCCAGAGGGACGGGTGTTAGCTGTGGGCGGAGCCCATCTCCCCAGCTAGACTGCCGGTTCCTCCAGGGTGGGGTCTGCCCACACTCCTCCCTCTGCCTGTACGACGCACAGTGAATGAATGGTTGCATTGTGGTCATGGGAATTCATTTCTAATGAATGTTATCGAGCACTCGATTTATCCAGGGCTCTGTGCTAGAAATTGTGGAGACATGAAAATGACCAGGATATGATTCTACCTGTGAGGAACCTGTAATCCACTAAAGGGGAAAAGAGGGATTCATGGGTAGCGTTACTACAAAGCGGGGGTTATGAGGTTCAGATGAAGGACTATTGGCCCTGAGAGGAGAGAGGGTCCGGAGCAGGCGGCATGTGGTCGGCACGTGGATTCTGGGGCAGGATTCAGGTCTCAGGGACAGGGCAGGGTGATGAGCCCTTGAGGAGGGGGAACAGCCTGCTCCGAGGCCAGGCCGCGGGTCGGGGGCGGCGGATCAGGAGCACGTGCTCCGCAGTGGCGATCAGGTCCTTCCTCCTCGGGCTCCTGGCAGGAGTGCGTCATCTTCTGCGTGCGCGAGGAGCCCGTGCTGTTTCTGCGAGCCGATGAGGACTTTGTGTCGTACACACCTCGAGACAAGCAGAGTCTTCATGAGAACCTCCGGGGCCTTGGACCTGGGGTCCAGGCCGAGAGCTTGGAGCTGGCCATCCGAAAAGAGGTGCGGGCCCCTGGGGTGGGTGGGGTGTCCTCCTCTCCGGTAGGCCTCGGGCACCTGAGTTAAGACCCCAGCCCGCGGCTCAGCTTTGCTGTCACGGGCCCGTACTCGTCCGCTTTCCTGCCCTGCGTGGGCCACTGGCTGGTTACAAGGCCAGCTCACAGGCAGCCAGCGGAGGGACTTCCTGTTCCCAGCTCTGTTTGCCTCTGCCCCTTTCCCACCCTGCTTTTCTCCTCACAGTCAGCATCTTTATGTAGAAAGAGGTCTGGGGCAGTGCAAGGAGCACTAGACTAAGCGTGTAAGACTGAAGTTCAGCCCCCTGTGAAGCTGGCGTGAGTCACGTCTCCTGTGGGCTTCTGTTGGTTTCTCAAGTTCCTCTCTCTTCCCTCTGTACAAGATTTGTCAAGGTCTCTGAGACTGTTGACACACCATGGAGGTGTGTAAATAACAGGGGTCACAGTGTCTCCTGGGACTCCCACGGGCAGGAACCTAGGCCGCACTGGCCCCTCGTCGTCTCCCCGTCTCCCTCTCCGGCCTCCTCTCTGGCTCCCTGCTGACCGAGTCTTGCCCCTTTCTTCAGCCTGGTGGCTTAGCTTGCTGCCCACTGGGCAGAGCCCTTCCGACCTGACCCCAGGGCATAGGTAGCTGCCGTTAGGACACCCAGGTTGCAGACCGCACCCCTGGCCATGTAGCTCCCCCGCGCCCCGGGTTGGGGAAAGCAACCTGCCCGTGGCCTCGGTGTGGCCCAGTCGCTGCAGGGCGCAGGCAGGAAGGCCGGGAGGGGCCTGAAGGTCTTCCATGGCCGTCTGGCCCCCACACCTCCTTGTAGATCCACGACTTTGCCCAGCTGAGCGAGAACACATACCACGTGTACCACAACATCGAGGACCTGCAGGGGGAGCCCCACACTGTGGCCATTCGGGGCGAGGATGATGTACACGTGACTGAAGGGGTATACAAGCGGCCCCTTTTCCTGCAGCCCACCTACAGGTACCGAGGGCCAGTCCTGTGCAGGACCCCAGGGTGCTGGGCATGGCGGTCTCTGGGCCTGCTCCAGCGGTGGCCTCAGTCTCACCAGCTGTCGGTGGGGCGAGGGGTGGAGGGGTGCCCAGGGTGTGTGGCCTGGCTGATGCGCTGCTCCCAATCACCTGGCAGGTACCACCGCCTGCCCCTGCCGGAGCAGGGGGCCCCCCTGGAAACCCAGTTTGATGCCTTTGTCAATGTCATCCGGGTAAGTGGGGGGAGGGTGCTGCCAGGGCCTGGAGGGTGGGTCTGTGTATAGGCCCCGACTCCATGGAGATGCTCCCGTGGGTTTGGCCTCTGGGTTTCCTCAGAATAAGTCCTCACTCTGGGTTGTGTATGGTGCCGAGTATGTTGGGGATGTGTGTGTGTGTATGTGGGGGGGAGTGGTTTGTGTGTGTCTGTGTCCGTTTGGGGCGTGTAGTCATACATTCCCTAATGACAGAGCCCAGCGCTGGCCATCTGGAGGGCTGGACTTTGGCTGTGACTAGGCTGCTAACTTGTGGTGGGACCTTAGACAAACCTGACCTCTCTAGACCTCAAGTTCCTCATTTCTTTACTGGAGCTAAAATTTTTTTACCCTCTAGACTCTTCTACTGTCCCTTCCTGAGTCCTGGTGGTGGTTCTCTCTTTGCCCCTTCAGGAGGTCATTTATTTAAGTCGCATCTCACAGGGGTATTAGACATGGCCTTATCTCCTCTGAGTAGTTCTCACTTCCAGAGCCAGTGCCTTGGTCTCCCCCAGGGTCCGGGGAGGAGCCAGGGCCTGTGCTCCTGGGGCAGGTGGAGCAGATGGGGCTGTGGGTTTTGGCAAAAAAGGCTGAGCTGCCTGTCTGGCCCCACCTTGCTGCAGACTGTGGGGTGCGTTGCGGGTGGGCCTGTGTCGTGACCCCACTACCCCAACTTGCTCCTCAGCTGAGGGGTTTCTGGGTCATGCTGTTACCTGATATCCATGGTCCTTCCCCAGGAGACCCCCAGCCTGCTGCTGCTTCGAGATGCCCATGGGCCTCCCCCTGCGCTCCTCTTCAGCTGCCAGACGGGTGTGGGCAGGACCAACCTGGGCATGGCCCTGGGCACCCTTCTCCTGTTTCACCATAGCGGGACTGCCTCCAGGCCGGAGTGAGTGCTGTGGGGCCGGTGCCCCATGCAACTGCCCCACTATGCCAGGGACACATCGGGAGCTCAGAGCCAGAGCTGGAAACTGGGCATCTGGGAGTTCATTTCCCGGCTTACCCTAGACTTGCAGGGTGACCTGGAGAAAGTCACTTGACCTTTCTGGGGGAAAATGTCCCTTGTTTCTGCCAACCTGATTTGAAAGGCAGACTTGGAGCCTGTAACCGGGTGCCTCTCAGTGGCCGTATAAATGGGAGACTGTCAATGGCAGGGCCACCCGGTAGCGCTGATTATGCTCCTGCCCCCTTCCTTGTCAGGGCTGTCCCTGTGAAGAGCAAGCCGCTGCCCATGGAGCAGCTCCAGGTGGTCCAGAGCTTTCTCCACGTGGTGCCCCAGGGAAGGAAGATGGTGGAGGAGGTGAGCCAGGGGCTGGGCAAGGCGCTGTGGCCCTCCCTCCCCGCACCGTGGTGGCTCTTCCTCCCCGACAAGCCCTGCTCTCATTCTTGGCCAATCATTCTCTTTACCTCCTTCTCTTGTCTTCTATCTCCCACCATCTTTCCTCCCTCCCTGCCGCTGTCCCCTCGTCCCTGGTCCCTGGCACCAGGTGGACAGAGCCATCACTGCCTGTGCTGAGTTGCACGACCTCAAGGAAGTGGTGTTGGAAAACCAGAGGAAGCTGGCACGTGTGCGGCCGGAGAGCCCAGCCCAGGTGAGGCCCGGAGAGCTCCTGCCTTTGCGTGAACCTGCAGCCTCGTTTTGTTAGGCCTGTTGACTGGCTTCTTTCAGACTGACTTTTCCTGGTGGCTTCTTCTCCCATTTAGAAGAGTGGTTTTCAGAGGAAGGGGACATAGGGGAGGTGGATGTGCAGGAAGGACGGACGAGGAAGGGGGGAAGTTTACTTTCCCTCACCAGGCCCCCTTGCTGCAGAATAAACAGGATGGAGGAAGGAGCTGCCGGCGGGGTGCTGGGGGACTCCGGATCCAGACACTTCCCACACTGCTCATGGCTCCCCCACAGATAAAAGCGCGGCGTTTCTTTGGGCAGGCCGGGGATTGGCCTGGCCGCTGCTTTTGGAAGCGTGATGGGCTCTGGGCTGTCTCTGCAGGCCTGTCCCCACTCCGGGGAGAGGACGCAGGCTTGGCAGTGTTTGCAAACAGTGCATGGAAAGAATCTGAAGCCTGCAGAACCTTTTTCTTTTTTAACACTTTAAAACCATCTTTTAAAAGCAGTGTTACATGACAGAAAATTGAGACATTGGAGAACAATTACTCCTAATCCCAGCATAGCCTCTGTGAGCATTTGGGGCCGGCTTCCTTCACTTCTCACATGCATGATGTTCTTGTGTAGGTTGCCCCAGCATGTGGTGCGCGTCCTGCTTATTTTGTTTGGCTTTTCCCCCTGTTCATACCTGGCTGTCGTCACGGAGGATTTTCCTGGCCGTGTAACTTAAGGTTGCGGCCTGGTTTGGCCATCATGGGCCTGATGGGTTGAGGGCATGACTGCCTAGGATCCGACCCCGGCTCTGCCCCACACAGGGGACTGGGGGTGGGCAGCTGCTGGATGGCCCCGTGCCTCAAGGTTCCCCACTCGCAACACGGGGCCGCTGATGATAATGACCCCGGAGGGTTGTTGTAGGTTGGACAGGACCCATGAAGTGCCAAAAACGGGGCCTGACACAGAGCAGGTGTTCCTGGCATGCCACCTGCCATGATTTATTAATAGGCCCCCTTCCTGTCAGACAGTTGAGTCACTTGCAGTTCCTTCTGAGCGTAAACACTTTTGCGTCAAACAGCTTCATGAAAATGAGGCTTTCATGAATTTAGGAATTTTTCCCATAGTCTAGATTAGGGGCCGGCCCACGGCGGCCCAGGGGCCAGAACCAGACGCCACCTGCTTTTGTAAGTTTTATCGGGACATGGTCTCGCCTATTCATTATGCGCGGTCTCTGGCTCTCTTGTGCTGCAGTGGCAGAGCTGAAACAGACGCTGTGCAGCCCACAAACCTAGAATACTTACTGTTTGGCCTTTTATAGAAATAAAAGTTTGCTGACCTCTGCCTTAGATTCCCAAAGATGGAATTAAACTTCATCAAAGGGTACGACCTTTCTTTCGGGCCTGTACCCATCCCCCGTGTCCTCCACAGGGTGTACAGACCCAGCAGGAGAACCCCGATATCTGAAGGCTGAGGGGAGACTGTGGGGATCAATACCCTCTCTGACAAGCCCTCAGCCAGAGGTGCTGGGCCAGGGTTAGGACACTTGTGTGGGGACCCAGCTCTGTGACTTTGAGGAAGTCACTTCATTTCTCTGAACCTCAGTTTCCCCTTTGTAAAGTAGGAGTACGGATTATGGCCCCTTGGAGCGCTGTCGTGAGGGTCTTTCTGTTTTCTCGTAGGGAGGGTGACAGGCTTTGGGAAGTGAGGGGCTCTGGCTCAGGGGAGAGTGTTGATACACTTGCTGCTTCAACACGGGAGGTGTGCCGCCCTGCGTGGCGGTGGTGGTGGAGCAAGCCGGGGAGCCTCAGCCTGTGTCTGGGCTCAGAGCCTGCGGCAGACGTCGGCCCCGCACTGAGAACTCTAGCGAGCCTGGGGTAGTCACCGTAGCTGTCCCTGTACCATGGGTTACCTGCTGCAAACGGGGCAGGGTGGGACGCTTGGAGGAACTGGCAGAACTGTGTTATGAAGCGAGAGGTAGACTGTCTTCTGGGAATTTCTGAGGCTTAACTCCTGCCCTTCCTGGGGTGGGGACTGTGTGGCCAGAACAGTCCCATCTTTACCTCCCCATTCCCTCCTCTCAGGGAAGCAGCAGCCAGCACAGTGCCCGGCAGAGGGCGCTGCGGAGCGTGGAGCGATACTTCTACCTGATCCTGTTTAACTACTATCTGCATGAGCAGGTGGGGCCGGGGTTGGGGGGTGGGAGGGTGGAGGTGAGTGGACTCATCATGCCCCTTCTCCAGGGGCTCCTCCAGCCTCCCCACCAGTGACAGGGTGACAGGCATGGGGTCACTGAGGACCCCCGTGGAACTAAGGAGCAGAATGGGACACATGTTGGTTTCAGAGGAAGGAGAGACCCAGATGGGGGTGGTCACTGAGTAGGTCAGGCAAAGGGAGGCCTCTCTCTCCCCTGGGCCACCCCCACACCCCCATCTCTGTACCCTTAAAGGGGGCATTGGGGCCTAGAAAGATCTTGCTTTGAACGCCCTGGTCCCTGCTCCCCACCCTCTCACCCCTGCCCTGGGCCATCATGGATGTCTCTTGGGGCTCCCCCACCCTGGGGCAGGCAGGGAGAGTGCAGGGTGGCCCAGCCCCCCTGAATTCCCATCTCTCTCTGCCTCGGGCTGCAGTACCCGCTGGCCTTTGCCCTCAGTTTCAGCCGCTGGCTCTGTGCCCACCCTGAGCTGTACCGCCTACCTGTAACCGTGAGCTCAGTGGGGCCTGTGGCCCCGGGGGACCTCCTCGCCAAGGGCTCCCTGGTGAGTAAGGCTGGCTCTCTGGGAAAGTGGGAATGTGTGGGGGCTGGCCCTTAATTCCTGGAGGGGTTGGTTAAGCATTGCTTCACGTGAGGCTGAGGGGCGACAGCCTGTGAGGTGTCTGTGGAATCTTCCTGTGAGCTCCTGGGGTTTTTCATGCCAAACAAGCAGGTGCAGCTTTGGCCACTGTTCTAGTGCCTCTCCTGAGTCTCACACTGAAGTGCTCTGGGCAGGGAGTCGGGAGCCCTGGCTCTAGAGCCTTTGCCGCTGGCTTCTCATCTTGGAGACTCAGCTTCCTTATCGGGGGAGTGGGCACCGTCAGTCTTCCCCTTGCTGGGGCAGTGATGAAGCTCTGAGTGTGACCTGCCGTCCCGCCCTTCCGCTGCCCCCTGGGGCTGGTTCTGAACCTCTCCGCGCCTGCTGCTTCCCCCACAGGGCGCAGATGATCTCGTCTCCCTCGACGCACTCAGCACGGTCAGAGAGATGGATGTGGCCAACTTCCGGCGGGTGTCCCGGATGCCCATCTATGGCACAGCCCAGCCTAGTGCCAAGGTGACCACCACAGTGGGCATGGGCCCACTTGTGGGGCGGCAGGAGGGGAGGGCTGAGCCCTTTGCGGACCGCCTCCTGTCCCGCCAGGCCCTGGGGAGTATCCTGGCTTACCTGACCGATGCAAAGAGGAAGCTGCAGCAGGTCGTTTGGGTCAACCTGAGAGAGGAGGCTGTGCTGGAGTGTGATGGGCACACCCATAGCCTGCGGTGGCCTGGGCCCCCCATGACCATTGACCAGCTGGAGGTGAGGCCCTTCTGCCTTCTACGCACCTGCACACACCCATGGAGGCCATCTGGGGAATCAGCCTGCGGGGGTCTTTAGAAGGTCCCATGCCCCTGTTGTGCAGATGGAGAAACAGGCCCCCGCGAGGAGCAGTGTCAGGGAGCAGATGATTCGGGGCTCCTGCTATGGCTGCCTGCCTGGCTCTGGGTCTGGTTCATGACCTGCGAGGCTCAGGAGGGGGCAGACCTGCGTCCGGAAGCCAGGGCTGTGCTGGCCGTAGCAGGCTCTGGCCTTTCGGGGCTGCCTCAGTGGCCTGTGTGCCCTCTGTCCCACCTTCCCCTAGAACCTGGAGACCCAGCTGAAGGCCCACCTGAGCATGCCTCCCCCAGGCGCAGAGGGCCCGCGGACCCACAGGTTCCAGACGTGCCTCACCATGCAGGAGGTCTTCAGCCAGCACTGCGGGGCCCGCCCCGGCCTCACCTACCACCGCATCCCCGTGCCAGACTTCTGTGCCCCCCACGAGGAGGTGAGGGGCTGGGGAGGCGAGCCTCTGGGGAAGGAGAGCCCCTCCCCGCTTCCCCTCTGGCTTGGGCCTTGGCTGCGGGCACGGCTCTGCTTGGGGGCTGGGTGCTCGTTCCACAAGGTTTTACATTTGGCTCAGGTGGGTTTATTCACGTCCCTTTCAAGCTTGGTATTTGCATGTGTGTGAGAATATGTGCATTTATTATTATGTGTTGCAGGTGTGTAGAGGGGGCGAGCCTGTCCGCGCTGTTTGTGGAGGTGTGTCTGTTGGAGACTGTTTGGAGTGGCTGTGGGAGTGTGTGTATGTGTGTGGTGTATTTTAATGGCACCTGGGTTGTATATCTTGCCTTTACCAGGGGACAAGTGTGGAGAGTGTTTTGGGGGCGTGGTGTGGTGTGGTGTGTAAGGGGTTTGTGGAGGAAGGTGCTGTGGGGTGCTGCGTGTGGCTCAGGGTGTTGGTGTGCACGTGGCTCCTGTAGGTTTGTGACATACATGTCTGTGGATGTCTGTGGTGTATGTGTCTGTCATGTATTGTGTGAGGGTCGCCGTGTGCCTGTGTGATACAGCAGTCGTTTGGGTGCTGTGCCTGTGTGGGTCTGTGTGGTGTGGGCAGGGCCTATGATGTGCTCTGGTGATAGGTCGTAATGGGCTTGGTGTCCTGTCACTCTTTGCTCTGTGGTCTGGTTGTCCGTAGTTTGTCGCCCCCTGGTGGTCACGCTCTGCAGTGGTCCACTGAGGGCTAGACCCTGCCCTTAGGCTGAGACTTGGATTAGGTCCATCTTAGTTGGTCAATAGAGCGGCGGGGGGCGGGGGGGGGGGGGGGGGGGGTCCATGCAAAGCCTGGGGGCGCAGCACATCGGAATGTGTGCACATGTGTGTGTTCTGCCTGCTGGACAGTGGGCAAGAGGAGCCCCAGGTTTGTGCGTGTGTGTGTTGAAATGTCCAGTCCCAGTCCCGGGGTGGGGAATGTGCTATATGTGGGGCTGGTTTTGTGCACCTGGTCTGGTGTGTACTGCGGTGAGTGTGTGCACACAGGCTGTGAGCCTGGCAGAGCCTGGCATGGGGTGAGCACTCTGTTTAGAGGACGGGCCACCTTGGGAGTCTGTGCAGCCGGGCACACCTGCGGACTCAGACTTTGGTCTCCTCACGCAGGATTTTGACCGCCTGCTGGAGGTCCTGCGGGCTGCCCTTGCCAAGGACCCGGGCACCGGCTTCGTGTTCAGCTGCCTCAGTGGCCAGGGCCAGACCACGACTGCCATGGTGGTGGCTGTGCTCGCCTTCTGGCACATCCGAGTATGTGAGGCCCCTCGTGTGAGGGCGGCGGCCGGCCCAGGCAGGGTGGGCACTTGGTCCCTAGGGACACCGGCTGTGCCAGGAGGGTGTGGGGTAGAGATGGCACCTAGTGTGCTCATCAGTCCTGGGCAGAGGGCCGACGGGGCTGACAGACTCCTGGCAAGGGGCTCCTGGCCTGAGGCAAAGGCACAGCCCGGGTAGGAGTGCCCCCGTCCCAACGCCTGTCCTCCCTCAGGGCTTCCCCGAGGTGGTCGAGGAGGAACTTGTGAGTGTGCCTGATGCCAAATTCACCAAGGGGGAGTTTGAGGTGAGCACGCCCCGTAGGGTCCCTGGGGGACACCTGGGGGAGGGGAGGGGGCGAGTATCGCTGGCAGGTCTTGGGGGGAGGTTTCAAAGCTTTTAATGCCGTCGCCTTCTCCCACCTCATCACATCAGTGCTTCTGTGCTCCCATTTCACAGATGAGCAAACCAAGGCGTGGGGCAGCTTGGCTCCGGGGCCCTGGCAGATGGCCCCTGGGGATGGGGGTCCTGGATCCGCCTCACCCTGTTTATCCCTGTGGCTGGGCTACTCTGTGCCCTTGGGGAGGCCACTGGCCACCATCGTGTCTGGGTAGCATTGACCACCCCCTCGTAGGCACCGGGGACCCGCTCTGGTTGGCGACATTGGTGTGGGGCCCTGGCCTGGCCAACCCCACCCCATTTCAGTCCAGGGCACTGGGTGGACAGTCACTCACATTTATAATTTAGTCACCTGTGTAATGTGCACCTGCCACATGACATCATCCCAGACGCCTTGCAAGTAGGTGGCAAATGTCTCCTTCTTACAGGTGGGTTATATGCAGCTCCGAGTTGGCACATGGCTGCCTGGGGCTGGCATCGTGGTTGGCTCCTGCCTACCCGGCCCGCCTCCCGCGGGCCCCTCCCCGCTGTCCTGCCGCCCTGGCCGCCAGGCAGGGCCTCGAGCCCTCCAAGCCCTTTCAGCTTCTGGGCCTTTACACCTGCGGTTCCCTCACCTTCGACCTCTTCTCTCTTCCGTCTCCTGGCTGATTCGCTGATTCTTTTCTTTTTCTTTTTTTATTGTGGTAAAATATACATAATATAACATTTATAACATTTTATATGTTATAACATATAACATATTATCATATAACCTAACATGACATATTTATAACAATGTTGTGTGCAAGGGAGCCGCAGACAGATTGAAGCCGCGGAGTCTACACAAGGGACACGCTCCCATTTACATTCCCATGAGCCCTCTCGGCTCCCAGGGGGGAGGCGGGGCTGCCGCAGTGGGATGAGAGGTGATAGGCGCCTGGACTGGTGCTGGCCGTGGGGGTGCCTGGCCAACAGATTTACCGGGGGTGGGGGATCCACAGGGGCGTGGCTGGGAGGGCCAACCAGGGGGAAGAGCTGTGCCCTCCAGAGCACCCTCCCCTAGGAATAAAGGGGGGCTTACATCAGATGTGTGGTGTCCATGCTGGGTCCCCCATAGCCGGGTGTCCCCAGAGGGCCTGGTGGCTGCTGTGGGGTGAAAGCAGAGCCAGCTGGGCCCCAACAGAGGCTCATCCTCTACCCTACCCCCCACCCCCCGCCGCCACCTCTTACACGACAGCCACCTGTTTTGTAGACTAGAGTCTGGATGTGGTTTTGTTTGAAGCAAGGTTTCTACTGCTTAGAAAAATAAGTGCCTTGGGACCCCTGACCTCAGAGACACCCAGGCGCCCTCCGGCCCCCAGCCCCGCCTGAGAGCCGGGGACGGCGGGCCTCTGCGGTCAGGGCCTGGGCCTGGAGGCCAGGGCCACCCCGGGGCGGGGCGACCCTATTGTTGGGGTGGGAGGCCCCACCTGCCCACCTCGGTTTTCTCTCCGCTCAGCCCCCTCTTCTGGCCCCAGGTGGTGATGAAGGTGGTGCAGCTGCTGCCCGATGGGCACCGTGTGAAGAAGGAGGTGGACGCAGCGCTGGACACGGTCAGTGAGACCATGACGCCCATGCACTACCACCTGCGGGAAATCATCATCTGCACCTATCGCCAGGTGAGCCCCACCCTTAGCCCGGGTGCATAGCCCACGTGTGGCTGCTGTGGTCCCCAGCACTCAGTCACATGTGGCCCCCCCAGCCCAGTCATGTAACCCGCTGGGCAGCCCTGGTGTCAGGCTTTGTGGCCTCCGGGCTGTGCGTGGAGCACGCTGACCTGCCTAACTCTGTTCTTCTCCGGCCCAGAGGCCTGGTGGGCTGCTGGGGTAGAGGAGGGAGCTGGAGCGGGAAGGGGCAGCTGTGGGGGGAACGGGTGTTCCAAGGAGATCGTGCCTGGAGCGAGTGGGCATCTCAGTGGGTGCCACCCTTGTTCCAAGGACAGCTTCTGCCGGGGGCCCCTGCAAAGGGGGCTGCTCCTCGCCAGCCCCATGCTCTGGGCACACATTGGTGAAGTGGCTGATCCAAGCCCGCCTTTGCTCAAGGGTCACAGCCAGACCATGACTAGGGCATGGGGGGCAGGGGTGCTTGGCTGGAGGCAGGGCATCTGGGGTCAGGCTCTGCTCAAGGTCAGAGGTCACCTGCAAGAGCTGCCAGATGTGGGGTGGGGAAGCTGGTTAAGGAGTTTCAGAAAATGGACGTCGCTGAAACGTTGGAACATGGACTAGTTTTTCCCAAGGCCCCACAGCTAGACTGTATCTCCTATTTGTTGTGGGTCTTCATAGTGGTATAGTATGCTGCCACCAGGTGGCAGCCATGAACTAGGAGCCTGAGCTCCTCTGGCTTTCAGAGGGGACTGAGGGGACGGAGTGCTGAAGAAGCTTCTTGTTCTCTGTAACTGGAGGCTCAAGTAGTTGAAAGGGATGTTCAGCCCTGCTTCAAGTCAGAGGTCTCCCCCACCACACTGGCCACACTCTGTCAGAGGCCCCACCCCTCATCTCCTCCCTTCCAGCCCTGCAAGCTCCTAAGTGCCTTTAGGCGTTCTAGGTATCCCCACCCTGCCCCCACCCCCACACCTGATAGGCCTACCCTCTCTGAGCTCTGCAGCCCCAGAGGGTGGAGTGAGGAGCACTAAGGGGAGAGAGGAGCCGTTCCATGGAGTTGACCTTGAACAGCCCCCATATAATGAGAGCTGAGGAAGGCACTCCCAGGGTGCAAAGTAAGTTTAGAGGCAATGAAGGTGCTTTGGTGCCTGTGAACACAGTTGTGTTGGAAGCTGTCAGAGATAAGGTCGGATGCGTAAGCTGGCTCTAACTCTGTCAGGAGGGGAGGGGAGGGTGGTGCGGTTGGGGCTATGTTCAGCAGTGGATGCCCTCGCTGCCTTGGGGGTGTGGAGTTTTTTAATGAGGAGGGAGGAAGCCGAGCCAGTGAGGATGGTGGTGCTTGGTAGTGGCTGTGGCAGGGTGGTGCTACCAAAGCAAAATGTAGCTGTTTTTCAGTGTGACCACCAGGTGGCCCCAGTGGGCTGAATGTCAGCCAAACTCTCAAGGGGCCGAAGAAGAGGGGCCTGAGAACCCTTCTAACGCAGTCCTTCTCATCCTGGCTGCCTAATAGATTCACTTGAGAGCTTTAAAAATACCCATGCATGAGCGCCATCCCCATAGAGTCTGATGTAGTTGATCTGCGGGGAACCAGAGCACAGATTGTTTTTTTTTTTAATTTCCTTTGGTGATGCCAATGTACAGTCAAGGTTGAGAACACTACATCCTCTAAGCAGGCGTCCCCTACCTTAGTCGGTGTCAGGGTCACCTGGAAGCTCATTAAAATGCATGATACTGGGCCTCACCCCTGAGCCTTTGATTCTGTAGGGCTGGACGTCTAGCAGGCTCCTGGTCAGGCTTTCTGCAGGGAGGCCAGCTCAGACTTTGCTGAGATTGTGTTGAATGTGTCAATCACTTTGGGGACTATTGCTGTCTTAGCGACAGTCACTTTTCTGATCCATGAACATGAGATGTTTTTCCACTTATGTAGGTCTCCTTTAATTCCTTATGTGATGTTTTATATTACAGTTCTCAGAGGTTAAGTTTTGTGCTGCTTTTGTTAACTTTATTCATATTTTAGTATATTTATGCTATTATAACTAGAACTGATTTCCTTATTTCACTTTTTAGCATGTTTATTGCTATGGTAAAGAAATGTAACTGCTGTTTGTATATCGATCTTCTATCTTGCAACTTTGCTAAACTTGTTTATTAGTTCTAATACCTGTTTGTTTTAGTAAATGCCTTAGAATTTTCTATATACACGATAATGTCATCTACAAATAGAGATAGTTTTACTACTTCCTTTTCAATCTGGGTGCCTTTTATTTAATTTTCTTGTCTAACTGCTGTGGCAAGATCTTCCACTACAACGTTGAACAGAAGTGGCAAGAGGAGACATCTTCTTTCTGTCCCTGACCTTGGGGGACAGCCTTCGGTCCTTCGCCATGGAGTGTGGTGCTATAGCTGTGGGTTTGCCATAGATGCCCCTTTGTCAGGTTGGGGACGTCCCCTTCCATTCCTAGTTTGACTGTTTTTTTTATGATTACATGTTAAATATTTCAAAATGCTTTTTCTATGTCTATAGAGATGGTTATATGGTTTTTGCCCTTTATTTCACTTTATTTTATTGATACGGTGTATTATGTTAATTGATTTTTGGATTATATACCAACCTAGCATTCCTGGGATAAAGCTTACTTGGTCATGGCAGGTGATCTTTATATATTCCTACCTTTAGTTTGTGGAGGATTTTTTGCATCAGACTCATAAGAGATATTTTTTCTGTAGTTTTTTCCTTATAATGTCTTTGGTTGGTATGAGGGTGATGTTGGCCTCAGAACGTTACCCTCTCACTTTTACAGATGGGGAGATGGAAACATGGAGAGGAAGAGAAGTTATCACAAGTACATCAGTCATCTTGGGCTTAGATTGCATGGCTTAAACAACAGAAATATATTTTCTCACAGTTCTGGAAGCTGAAAAGTCCAAGATCAAGGCTCTGGCTGATTCAGTTTCTAGTGAGGGCTCTCATCGTGGCTCGCAGACAGCTGCCTTTTCCTCGCGCCCTCACAGGCCTTTCCTTGGTGCCTGTGGTGTGGGCGGGGGGGGGGGGGGGGGGGGGGGTGGGGGGACGGGGCTCTCTGGTGTCTCTTCTTTTAAGGGCACTAACCTTAGTGGTCATCCAGTAATAGACTCCTGGAAGTGCTCTTACGGAACAAAGAACTGAAAGTGACCTCAGTCCTGGTTGGGATTTCACAGAGTGGTTTAAAAAAGGGACGGACTATTCTAGGGTTGCCAACGTATAATGTTGTTAAATGTGTCCATTTTAAAGGAAGGAAGGCAAGAAAGAAGGAGAAATTTTAAAAATCCACCTACCATCTAATATGGTTGGCTTTTCATAAAAGAAAACATATTTTAGTACCAGAAAAGTAAAGTGGGTATGATTTCTGACTACGGGATAGTCCTTGAAAAGATTTATATTTCTAAATTCCTATGGTCCTGTGAAATTGGCCATGGACATGCATTTGGGAATCATAATCTTTGGAGACTAGGCCACTGTTTCCTTTACTCAGAAAGGCAAAATGCCCCCCTGGCCTGGCGGGACCAAGAGCCCATGTCCTGCCCAAGATCAGGGTGATCTGAGCTGTCCCAGCTGCATCCAGATTAGAAGGGGCATCTGGCCAGCTCGGGGGGTGTGTGCACGCGCGCACGCCATGGAATGGACTTTATTACAGTTGACATGGCCCAGTGTCAGTCCCCGTGTACATGGGAGGGAAGCAGGATTGTTCCAGGCCGGTTGGCAGGAGGAACTTGGGTGTGGGAGGTGGAAGGAGCTGGGTTCCCACAGGGCTGTCTTCATCCTCCCTGGCTGCTGTGTCCCCACCTGCCAGGCTGGACTAATGCTGCTTTCCTGGCAGGGCTGCGTGTGGGAAGGACACGAGGGACAGGTGGGAAGCACAGGGCTTGGCTGACACACAGTAGGTGCTCAATGCATGGGAGGGCTCCTGGGGTCATCGTAGGGCCACAGTATCCTGAGATGTTCCTCTGAGCTTCAAAACCCCCGCTAGGCCCAGAGATTTTAGTGCTAAAGGGTTTAGAGGGCACATGACCTCTCTGTTGACAGATGAGTGGGAGATCGGATTTCCCAGGTCCCATGCGAGTTGATGGCTGAGCAGGTATCAGAAGCAAAGGTCCTCACTCCCAGCCCCGAACCCCTCCCCTGGCCACGCTGCCCTTGACCCAAGCCCTCAGTCGCTGCTGCTCCAGTGAGCTGCGAGGGCTTGCTGAGGCTCCGGAAGGCAGCTGCTTCCTCCACCCTCTCCCACTGATGGACTGACCCCTCTGGGAATTGGCAGCTCTGCCTCATCCCTGGTATCTGGCTGTTTATTGGTGTAACCCCTGCCCTCTGCTTTCATAGTGGAAGTTCCCAGGGAATCCCCAGTGGAGCCTGCCGTTGTCCGCTTGGAGCAGGTCCGGGAACCACATGTGCAGGTGACGCTTGTTGGCCTGGTTGGACCCCTGGAACCACTGAATGGAATTGGACCTGAGCCCAGGCTTGAATGGGGATTATCACCTATGTCAGTTCCATTTGCCTGGGAACATTCTAGATCTCGCCCTCATTCTGCCCATCCAAAGTTTTCCTCCCCGGAGTTAGTTCACAGCCTTGGGATTCTGAAAGCTTCAACAGCACGCAGTCCCTCGGCTTCCTGCTCCGCACTGCCCAGAGCCCCTGCACAGCAAATTTCCCTCTCCTGGCCCCTGCCAGGCCCAGCAGTCAATGTATACTTCAATAGTAAGCAGTTAAGAAAACAGCTCCTGGAACGTGGCGTTTGTACTTCTTCCAGCAATAAAATCACTTCAGGGCCTTTGGCAGAGAGGGGTGGGTGATCACTTCTCTGTTGTGGGTCATAAAGGAGGGCTCAGAGCGTCATAAGTCTCATATGCACATAAGTCCCATATGCATGGCGAGGTCCTACACGGGGAGGCCTCTGTGCAGCTTGTTTGTTGTTACAGAGATGAAACTAGACCACTACCCAGTCTCCCAGACTCTGGCCTGCCCAGCAATGACTTTGTATTTG